TACTCCGTTCACCAGAAACGATTAGGTTTATCAAATATATAGGGCTTAGCCGTAGGGAAATTATAAAGAAAGTCAAAAAACGCCTAAATATAACAAATCTTCTAAATGATACAAGTAAATTTAAGTACACTGTTGTACAGTTTCAACAAAGAAAAGACACTAGATTGGTCTGAAAATTTTGAAATAAAATAATTTAAAATTAAACATGAAGATAAATCTATAAATAACCCCAACCAATATTGTCCTAAAATCATAAATTTTTAAAGAAAACAAAACTTCAGTTCTCTCTAGCACACACGCACTCAGACCTCGTCCCTCACTATCTGTCTCTTTCACTCTTACTTATTCTATCTCTATCTTTCTATTTATCTCACACTCTCTGTCTTATTTCCTTTTTTCTGTCTGTCTCTCCCTCTATCTCTTAATAATATAACTATCAATTTATCCTAACCCGTGTACACTGGTCATTTTCCTGGATCTCATGGATTTTTGCAGGATTTCATGAGGCTCTCGTATGCATTTCTGTTTCTTGTCTTTTCTATATCTGTCTATATTTTATTATAAGGAAACTTAAAAAACACTTGAACTATAACAAATCTTCTAAATGATTACTGATTATTCTAAATAATCAGTATCTATTTATCTATCAGTCTTTCTCTCTGTCTGTCTGTCTCTNTCTCTCTCTCTCTCTCTCTCTCTCTCTCTCTCTCTCTCTCTCTCTCTCTCTCTCTTTCAAAAAACAGACTATTTTCTTCTTATATAGTACAGTTAAAATTATTCTAACTTAATCTCATGTTAAAACACATAATAGTGTTTTTATTGTATACCTATTATCTCATAACCATTTCCCCTTGCATTTGTTTAAATATATATTATAAAATACAAATAAATTTAAAATTTTTACCTTGAAAATTCTCAATCGTTAAAACGAAACTGAATGCTATTTGGCTTGCCTTTTGTCTTGATAATGCTATCTTATCAGTATGAGGAATGACAAAAAACTATTATATATTAAAAAAAAACTTTTATTGGTTTATCGAAACTTTTTATTTTACAAAAAATGTTGCTTCAAACGAACGTAATTAATTAATTTTACGTCATATCTCGATGAGGTTCCACTTGAGAAATAAATCCTCGTGTTAACACGATCCTTCTTTCACCTTGCGCAATCCTGAAAAATAAGTCGTGGGCGAATTTGGTTGAAAGTAATTTTTACAGAAAGTCTTACCGGTGTTGCGTTTCTTGGCACAATTTAACTGGCACGGGTTACTGTACGTTTTGCCATCAGAACCACAAACGGGCCGGAATAAAAGGTTGCAAGCACAGACGTTGGAACTTTGTCGTTTCGCTATCAGTTTGTACAACGGCTTATCTAAAAAAAATCAAAATCCAATTCGGATTGATGTGCACTTATAAAATAAAATGCGAATTCTTCTTTATACTCACTCGACTCGTCATGCCATTTCTGAAAATCCAATCGCAAAACAAACAAAATTTGTCAAAGATATTTTTTCAACGTTTTTTAAAAATAATTGACATTTACCTCGACATTTCCAGCAACGAAAGATATCACAATAATGATTATTGCGATCGATAATAATAGATTATTTTTAGTCTTCATTTTTTTTTTCAAATTCTTCGACACGATCTGGAACAATCACCGTTCAAATTCCAACTGAGAGAAGACTTGGAATATGCACGGGTTAAAATAAATACGTGACGCAAGATGACCATAAAATGAACAAATAATTATGTAAATTTCAAGGCGTTTGAATATATTTTCCTAAGGTGCAGTCCGTTCAATTCCGACAGGATAGTCGTTGCTTCTAAAAACGGATTTGACCTTGAATCAAGACCAGTGAGTCCTTTACAGGAGTTTGTAAGATTTAAATGATTGTTTTGTTGGTCGGTTTCGTTCGAGATTTCTTATTTCTACGCGTTATCGTATTTTTAATTGGTTTATTATTACCGTAAAATAAAAACCGCAGCTCAGACTCTAAGAAAACAGGTGTTTTCTTTGTTGATGACGCTTTGACAAAACAGTATGTGGTTTTCTTGGTTCAAGAAATTTTTATTTGGAATAATGCAAAGCGCAAGTACTGATCGTCCTTCAATCCTTAATGATGACGGAATTCATCTTTTTGTCATACATAATCACTCAATAACATGAAACATAGTAGATACTTAAGATATTTCACGAATGAAATTCTACGCATCCATTTATTTACAGTGTACGGCTACTCGTGTTACAAATTTTGCCCGTAAATTCTACATTCATAATGGAATCAAAAAGTCCTAATTAACTATCGTCCAAATCCTAGCAGAATTTTTTTTTTCAAAGTTGAAAAACCTACTATGGTGATTCTAAACTACTATTTTCAAACCTAGAAACCAGCCAATTTCAGAAAATGTACTCCATTTTATATCCTTTTTAGTGGTGCAATTGATTTTTTAATTACTTTTTTCAAAGATGAAGAATTTGATGGGGAAAGGAAAAAACCCTGGCTGACGGATTGGAAAGGTGTAAAATTTAAAAAAAAATTAAGGAAATTTTGAATGAATTTATTAAACTTTTTTAATTTGGGTTCGAATTCGAAATAGTGAAGGTGTTTACTTATTTACCAACACGACTGCAACTTTTTTTTTTACGAGGGTTCGTAACAGCAGAGGTCATATAAACCCTCAGGGTGCAGGGGTTTTTGAAAAAAAAACCGTTTGTAAAGTATGTCGGGTTCGAATGCAGGGCCGCTGGATTCGAACCCTGGACCTTTACCTTACAGTGATGATCGCCGTGTCAACGCCTAAACCGTTGCGGCCACCGACGCCCCCCGACTGCAACTTTGATTAAAGGATTATTATATTATTATTCTCTGGAATAAAAGAGTTTCAAGATTCAACATTTTTTTTGTAATCTGTGTGAAATCTTGTTAACTATGGTTATTTTTTCGAATGAAGAATATGCTGATATAGGGGTTTTGCGGGTTTAATGCGACGGCAGCGCGTAGAAAAAACATAGCGGAGATTGGAGAGAATCAAAATTAAAAAACGTTTAATAAATTCATTCAAAATTTCCATAAGTTTTTTATTTTTTATTATATTAATCTTTACACCTTACGAATCCTCCACCCACGTTTTTTCCTTTCCTTCATCTTTGATAAAAGTAATTAAAAAGCAATTACACCAATGAAAAGGATGTTAAATGTTAAATGGAGTACGTTTTCTGAAATTTGCTGGTCTCTAGGTTTAGGAATAGTAGTTTAGAATCACCGTAGTGTTTTTCAACTTTGAGAAAAAAATTTTTTTCAATGTTCTCGCTACTAAATCGCTTATTTTCCGAACGTTTACAAGTTCAGTATTGATCACATCTTATTCGAAATTTAACGTAGTTTGTACTGGTATAAACGGATTGGTCCAAAACCTTTTAGTTTTGGAGTTATCATTGTTTATTTGAACCAAGGTCGTGATATATTAAAAAAATCAGAAAAAATGAAATAACTCCGAAACTGTTTAGATTCGGACCATAGTTAATTAGGACTTTTTGGTTCCATTTTGAGTGTAGAATCTACTGGCAAAATTTGTAATACGAGTAGCCAAACACCCAGCATATATATTCGTATGTATATGTATATGTTAACTCAGATGTTCCTCACATATTGACTAAGACGAATTTATTGGACCGAAGGTTCATTTGCGATTTTCTGTCGAAAAGACCTATTTTTAAAAATTTTGTTAACGAGAAATGAAACGTGGATGCTTTACAACAATATTTGTTGAGGAAGAACATTGGGAAAACGCAGCGACACACTGTTGGCAACTCCAAAAGCCGGATCATATCCCAATAATATAAGAGGATTAGAAAGGGGTTATTGTGAGCTTCTTCCAGGAAACATGAATCTAATCCCTTTATGTTTAGTGGTCTAATTGACCAAATTACTTCTTTTAATTAATTTCACTAGTTTTCGTGGTCCGCTTGACCAATATCTTTTAATTAATTAAGATTTTTGGTTGAGATAAAAAAAGTCAGTGCCACGAGCAGGATTCGAACCCACGACCTGCGGCTCGCTCAATAAGCCGTTGCTCTAACCACTTGAGCTATCATGACTTCTAATTCTAATGTTGTCTGCGTACGATTGTTCCCCCCCCCCAGGACAAAGTTCGTCTTTGCAGACGCGCTAAAAATTGTTGGAGCTTAGGTATGATGGAACATTGCCTCTTTATATTTTCACTCATTCCGGGCCTTACAAAAGTCCATTAATCGAAAAACTCCTTGATCTTCTGCGATCGGTGGTCCCTGAAACAGTGAAGCCAACCCCTGCTGAAACGAAATGCTAAAGGCCTAGGATGGCCTTTGTTTCTAACTAGGGAATCCCAAGCACCGCAAATTTAGGGTTTATTGTAATTTTATTAGTTCCTTCGTTAATTTGACTCGATATTTATCTTAAGACAAAAGCCGGTTGTTACAATGCCATCGAGCGGTTTCTTCTTATTCGAAGGCGATATAGATGCTTCTTCCTACATAAACCGGTCAGCAATGAACTTGCCCATATTTGGGGCTTATTTACATGACAGGCATTCTATCATTGCCATAAATAAACGCTGTTTAGCTTTTTTCAACAGTTTTCTAAAGATTAATTAATTGAAAAAAGTTAATTGTAATCGGACCACGAACTGTATTGGATTTAATAATTAAACTGAATTATCACGAAAGCTCTCCGTGGCCATTAAATTTGTCGCCGAGAATCAAATAGATTACAAGACATTAAAAAAAAAGGCAAAAAGGAGAGAAAATTTGAGAGGTGAGGTTGAGATGGAAGTTGGTGTCCGAGAGGATCGAAGACACGATAGCTCAAGTGGTAGAGTAGCGGCGTATCAAGCCGAAGGTCGTGGGTTCGAATCCCGCTCGTGACACTAGGTTTTTTATTTCAACCAAAAACTTTCATCAAAATTACAAAACAATCGATAGATTTATATATTTATGTTGTTTTTCTTTATCACAGAGAACAATTTCAGTTTATATGATCATTATTTCTCAGATTATAAATTACGTTGAGTGCCAGCTGTAAAAAAATCACAATTTGGAAGACCAATTGGTGGCAATTTATATGGCATCAAACTGGTATTTACAAGTTCTGTTGGTTCTGTACTCTAGGCGGTTGATCTGATTGGTGTTAGGGCTCCAGAGGTTAATTTGTGGACATTGCCAATTTACTTAAACTGTATAGCCTGGGCCGAGGATTTTTGTAAACTAAACGTTTTTTTGAATGAAAATATTGATAACAAGATATTGTTGGTAGGTGACTGTAATGTGAGAATAGGATCCTCCCAAATAATTCCAAAAGAACTTTTTGTTTACAATTGTAAATGTAGATGGTACAGACAATCAAAAGACACAGTTAGGAATCAGGCAGGTAAAATGGTTTTAGATATGTGCGATGATCTTGATTTAGTTGTTTTAAATTCAGATTTCCCGGTGAGTTCACTTTTGTGGGTAGTATGGGCTCGTCCGTGCTGTGCTCCGATCTCTGCTGTGTTCCGTTACAGAGCATACATTTGATTGAAGACTTCAAGGTGGTTTCCGAACCATTTTCAGATCATCTTTCCCTTTATTTCTCTTTATCCACTGTAACTACCCCAGATGATAATGTGTTTCCTCTTTATCCTCAGTTAGTTTGGCGGGATAGTACTTCATGTGCTTACAGGAAAAATATTGAGAAAATTCTTAAAAATTCCCATGAGATTTTTGTGGATCCTTAAAGATACTCAGATGATTTAGTGGCAATTGTTAAAAAAAGCTTCAGTTACAAGAAGAAAAAAACCATGGTTTGACAGTAAATTCTACCATGCGAGAAATCGGTCTTTTAGACTTTTAAATTTGTTTCGCCAAAGTAAACCTACCTACATCCAAATGGCCTACAAGAACTCCATTAATGAGTACAAAAGTATTTGTACAGCTAAAAAGAGGGATTTCCTTACTTCTACGGCTAGACAATTAGAGCAAATAAACGAGTCGAAAGAATTTTGGAAATAAGTGAACCACATTAAAAGAAAAAGAATGGTCTGCGGATCTAATATTTTAATGGATCAGTGGTGTACCACTTTAGTAGTCTGCTCAATCCAGAAATTAATTACAATTAATTAAAGTTTTTAGTTGAGATGAAAAAAATTAATGGCACGAGCGGGATTCGAACCCACGATCTTCGGCTAGATACGCCGCTGCTCTACCACTTGAGCTATCATGACGTCGATCCACTCGGACATCAACTTCCTATCTCAACCCCACCTTATGAGTTTTCCCAACTTTTTGCCATTTTTCAAATGTCTTGTAATCAGATTGGATTCTCGACGACAAATGAAATGGCCACGGAGAGCTTTAGTGAAGTGCACTTCATTTTAATCATTAAATTCGCTTGACCAAGGTTTTTAGTTAAGGTCACGATAGCTCAAGTGGTAAAGCAGCGGCGTAAGATCGTGGGTTCGAATCCCGCTCGTGCCATTAACTTTTTTTCATCTCAACTAAAAACCTTAATTAATTGTAATGTATTAATTGGTCAAGCGGACCACGAAACCAGTGAATTTAATGACCAGAAATTAATGTAGTATCAACTTTGTACGCAGAACCATTTATTCAGGATCAATGTTTAGATGCACCTTTTGCTCAGGATGAGTTGACGGCAGTAATGTCCGGGTTAAAGAATGGCAAAGGTCCTGGTTACGACAGGGTATGTTATGTGTTCTGATGAGTTACTTATGTTTTTAAGGGCGATCTCAAATTTGCTTTTTTTTAAACCATACCTCGGTAGAGTGTTCGTATACATCATTACATAAATAATGTTATAATAATGCATTTTATGCTTAATACCTATAGAAAAGAACAAGAAGGGAGAATTATTCTCTCTCCAAGCCAGAACAATAAAAAAATAAAGGAATTTTGGTATGATTGATGAGCGATAGTGCACCATCTTCCAAAGTTCTCGTTCTGTTGTACTTCGATATTTAATTTGTCCGTAATTAAATTTACGATTTCATTTCTATCATTGTGATTCGATTAATACACACAATAGCACTCAAATTGGGCCTGAAAATGCATATTTTAGCTATTTTTCAAGGATTTTTAGTCGTTGATCGAGTACCTTGAAACACCTTAAAGACATTGAGAAGATTACTTTTCCTTACTAGACTTAAAAACTTATTTTTCTCCCTCTACGATTTCCTTTCGTTCCCAAGTTGTCTTACTCCCAAGTATTCCCCAATGTTCTTCTGTATCCATCACTATTAGAGTCAAAACTTAAGCAACTCCGCCTTCTTTTCCTGTTGTTACAACCATCCCTTGAAACCAAGTGTAAGGTCAAAAAATAAGGTGTGCTTTGTGCTTCTCTTGGCTTCCTTGAGTAATAACTGCTTCAAGTAGCGAGGAGGTTAATTGTCTTGAGTATTTTATGTTTTACGAACTGAAATATCAAGAATAAGACTGATGTTGCCCCGAGGGATCGATCTCAACAAATTGGCGAAATTGACTCTCTACCGGAGTTCAATCCAAGATAAGGCTGGAATATAAAGACAGGAAAATGTATAGAAATTATAAATGATGGGGTGAGTGTGAAGTTCAATCCTTTTTTAAAAAATATGGTCCTACTCACATTAAGTTGTTTCGCGACAATCCGGATTTCGAGCCCTTAGCTCATCGTCAGGTTGAAGGGTTTCTACAAACACGTCTCTCGACATGAATTGCAAAAGTGAACCCTCTGATACCCCAGCCAACGCGACGTTCCAATGAGGAGCTCGGTTTTTAATGGCGCTCAATTTAAACGTGCGAAAAGCGGGAATTATAACACAAATAACAATTGTAATAGTAAGTTCTGTAAGAAATTAATTGTAAATTAGTGATTAAAGATAAAAAATTTAAAAAAAAAGTAAATAAAAAAAAATGATATATGCATAGAATATCGTCTACATACGACGATATTATGTATGTAGACGATATTCTATGCATATGGTCGGAAAAATTAGAGGTTCTCGAAGAATTCCTCCAACTAGTTAATTCTCTACACCGTAATATAAACTTTACATTGGAAATTAACAAAGATGCTTGTTTGAAATTTTTAGACCTAAAATTGTCTATAATAAACAACCTAATAGAAATAGATGTATATAGAAAACGATGGATGAGCTAAAGTGCTCGAAATCCGGATTGTTGCGAAACAACTTAATATGAGTAGGAACCATCTTTTTTAAAAAGGAGGAAAATGTATTTTTATGCAAACAACAATATCCATACTAGCTTTACTTAACTTACTTTATTAATGTAAAACATAGCATCCCTCTCCACACAATTATATGGTAATTAAACCTTAAAAATTGAAATAGTACACAGGATAATACGATAATCAAATATACAAGAAATTACACAATATCTATGTAAAAAATTCAGTGTACATTAATTAAAATTTTTAACATTTATCCAATATACTAAAATATAAAACGAAAATTATGAATTCTTCTCCTGACCATCAATCTCCATTTTCCAAACTTGGTTGAAATGACGATTCTTAATTTTTCTGTAAATAATTTTATTTTGTAAGTAACAAGGCTTTATTGCTTTTTCCAAATCGGGCTGTTTTTATAACACTTCACCATTCCCTTTAGACCAATTATTTTGGTTTTCTTACTAGCATATTGGTCGCGATGCTTTGAGTTGTAAAGAAGTTAGTTTAATAAACTTGGGAACTGTGCTTTTCTGGAAACATTTCTGGCCAAATGTATTTTTCCAAATATAGTATTTTGTTTAAATTCATAAAAAGATAGCAACGATTATTTAATGATATTAAGATTCCAACTTACGACTGATCGACAACTGATTCAGAATCATCACACATTCCGCTTACATCGTCCTGTATGAGCTATTGTCAGAGCTGAAACAATAATATGATCATTTCCGACAATTTCTATCATTTTATATATTCAAATTTATAAAATCATCTAATAATACAATTTTATTGGACTTTTTTTGTTAATGTGCCTCCGACCCATTCAGTGACAGAGATCTTATGTTATGTTTTGAGTCATGTGTATTAATTCATTTACGTTTTAGCAGTCGATTGACTAAGTTACATCTTTCAATTAATTATTCTTTTTATGTAAGGTTTTGGTTGAGATAAAAAAGTCAGTGTCACGAACGGGATCCGAACCCACGACCTACGGCTAAATACGCCGCTGATCTACCATTTGAGCTATCGTGACTTCGATCCTCTCAAAGTAGTATCTCTTCACTAAACAGCTCCCCGTGGCCACTTCATAAGTTGCTGAGAATCCAATCCGATTACACGACATTTGAAAATGCCAAACAGAGGGAAGGTTCGAACGGTTGAAAGTTGAAATGGAGAGTTGATTGTCAAGTTGTCCTACATGCTTGATCGATAGCTCAAATGGTAGAACAACCGCGTATTTAACCGGAGGTCCGTGGGTTCGAATCCTGCTCGTGATACTGACTTTTTTTATCTCCACCAAGACCTTGTTTTTTTTTTGTTTTTTTTTTTTGTTTTTTTTTACGAGGGATTGCAACATCAGAGGTCATATCAACCCCCTGAGTGCCGGTGTTTTTGAAAAAAAATAACATTTGTAAGTATGTCAGGTTCGAATGCAGGGCCGCTGGATTCGAACCCGGGGCCTTTCCCTTAAATGGATTAGCGCCGTGTCAACGCCTAAACCGACGCCCCTGGAAATGGCGTCAAGAAGTAACATATCTAACTGGCTCAAGACTGTTAAATTTTATGAAAGAAATTTAAGTATAAAGCATTACACGTTCGTTGATTGGTGCAACTACATGCACGAATTCTGTGCGAACTCTACTTTGCTCAGACATTCGCGTGTTGTTGGCCCTAATGGCACTGTGGAAATTGACGAATCGCTGTTTTCGAGCAGGAAAAACTACACCGGGAGAATCTTACCATAGCAGTGGGTTTTTGGTGGCATTTGACGCGAAACGAGAGAAGGTTTTCTAGTCTCCGTTACGGACAGATCAGGCACCACTCAAATCCCCATAATTCGTGATCGGATCGCTACTCGGTCTGTCATCATCTCCGATCAGTGGAGGCATATGAAACATAATCCCAGGATCCAGGATTTCCGCCATTTGAAAGTGAATTTTGTCGACCTGACCACACTCCATTGAAAGTGTATTGGGAAAAGCAAAGGCGAGGTACAAATGGCAGCGGGTACCCGCCGAAGTTCATTGGACTACTATCTATGCGAATTTATGCGGCGCCAGTCATGTACGGCAAGAAATGTGTATGTTTTCGAACACCACCTTAGTGAAATAGTTGAATTTTGGCCCCCAGGGACTCAAATTTGATTTCTTTTAATTATTACAACACAAATTACCTAAAATAAAATGTTTCCGTATTTATAATTTCCTTTAAAGTAGCATTTCCTTAAGTGACCGGAGAGAGATCTTAGCGGCCGAGGGGGGCGGAGGCGCATTGACGGGAAAAGTTCATTTTGTTATTAACATATTGTATTTAGACTAAATTAAATTTGTTTTAAAAGTACATACAGTTATTCTCACGTTGGGCACAGTGGAACATACAAAGGTTTCCGTACGTCTTACCATCGGATCCACAAATCGGTCTATATTCCTTTGTGCATGGGCAATATACCTGAAACTACAGATCTATGTATAAATAGAAATATACATGGTAAAATGCTTGCAAATTTTCTTTTTGTTTAAATAAAAAGAGTTTAATGGTAGCTTTTTTAGGTTGTTATTATGTTACAACTAATTAAGGTTTTCAGTTGAGATAAAAAAGTCAATGGCACGAGCGGGATTCGAACCCACAATCTTTGGCTTGATACGCTGCTGCTCTACCACTTGAGCTATCGTGACCTCGATCCACTCGGACACTAACTTCCCATCTCAACCCAACCTTTTCAATTTTCCCTCCTTTTTGCCATTTTTCAGTTGTTATTATGGTTAATATCTATAGGTGTAATTACCTAACTATCTTTACCTCTCTGTCTGTCTATTTATCTATCTGTATATCTATCTATGTTGTTAGTTTTTATATTAGTGCAAGAAAAGATAGTCCAAAAGAAAAAACAGATTTAAATAAAACTATTTAGTATTATTATATAATAATGAGAAATTTATCATTAGAAGTATTTTGACTATTTAAATGTGAAAAAAAATGAAGCAAGAAAGAAGCATGTAAAAAAAGCATACATATGTTTCAAAAAAGAGATTTAAATGAAACCATATAGTATAATTATTATATAATGTTGATAAATTCCTCATTAGAAGTATTTGGACTATTTAAATGTTAGAAAAAATGAAGCAAGAAAGAAGCATGTAAAAAAGCATACGTATGTTTCAAAAAAGAGATTTAAATAAAACAATTTAGTATTATTATTATATAATGTTGAGAAATTCCTCATTCGAAGTATTGGGACCATTTAAATGATAAAAAAATGAAGCAAGAAAGAAGCATGTAAGAAAAGCATATATATGTATCAAAAAAGAGTTTTAAATAAAACTATTTAATATTATTATGTAATATTGAGAAATTCTTAATTAGAAGTATTTACATTATTTAATTTTTTTTTAAATGAAGCACGAAATCAGCATGAAAAAACATATGTGTTTCAAAAATATGATTTAAATAAAACTATTTAGTATAATTATTATATAATGTTGAGAAATTCCTCATTAGAAGTATTTGGACTATTTAAATGTTAAAAAAATGAAGCAAGAAAGTAGCATGTAAAAAAAGCATATATATGTATCAAAAAAGAGATTTAATTGAAACTATGTAGTATTATTGTTACATAATGTTGAGAAATTCTTCAATAGAAGTATTTTGACTATTTAAATTGTAAAAAAATTAAGGAAGAAAGGAACATGTAAAAAAACATACATATGTTTCAAAAAAGAGATTTCAATAAAACCACTTAGTAATAACGTTGAGAAATTCTTCACCAAAAATATTTAGATTTTAAAAAATGAAGCAGGAGATGAACATGTAAAAAAACATATGTATGTTTCAGAAAAGAGATTTAAATAAAACTACTTAGTAATAACGTTGAGAAATTCTTCAACAGAAATATTTAGATTATTTAAATGTTAAAAAATGATGCAAGAAAAAATCATGTAAAAAAAGCAATATATGTATCAAAAAAGAGATTTAAATAAAACTACTTAGTAATAACGTTCAGAAATTCTTCAGTAAAAGTACTTAGATTATTTAGATTTAAAAAAATGAAGCAGTGAAGGAGCATGTAAAAAGAACATATATATACGCAAAGAACCGCAGAAAATATAGATTAATCGATGGATAGATAAATAGATAGATAGAGAGAGATTGAAAGAGAGAGAAAATGAGAGATATTCTGCAATCTGCAAAGAGCCCATCAACGAGCGAATGAACGATGAATGATGGATGACGAACGATGAATGATGAATCTCTCAACAGCCAGAACCTGTAAGGAAGATTTATATTGGGGGAACTCCTTTCTACCTGTAAGTCCGGAGTGTGAGCGCCATTTGTTTTCAAGAGCTCCGATTTGGTCCAACGGCCGATGAGGGGGATTTTTTAAAGGGCCAGGGGCAACGGTGGGAATCGAACCCACGACCGCGGCGTGAGAGTCTCTCATGCTAACCACTCGGCTACCGCGGTCCCCCGATGAGGGGGATAATGGATAATCTCTTTCCCAGAGGTTATCCTTCTAACTTGTTAAACAATCTATCGATCTATCTGTGTATCTATCTATTTATCTATCGATACAACCATTCAATTCTTTATCTATCTATCTATCTGTCTGTCTGTCTACCTATCTCTTTCTTTCTGTTTTATCTATCTATTTATCTTTCTGTTTATCTATTTATAAATATTGATTGGTGCAAAAATAATGCAGATTTTTGATGTCCAGTGAAAACTTCAACAAAATATTTTTAGTCCAAATAACTTCCATTACTATCTATACATTTTTGCCAATGCATTAATCCCAGAATAGTTAGAAAACTAGGGTGTCTGGAATCGAGGAATTCAATGCCTACTTCTGAACCTTTCCTCGCACAAAAAGTTGTTGAGATTTTAAAAAAGTGATAGGAAAAGATCCGGTGTGTATGGTGGATTTTGTAAATCCTCGAAACCCAACTCAGGAAGAAGTGACAGAGTCCGCTGTACGATCTCTGGGCGTGCGTTGTCTGAAGATAGGCCACTTCCGATTGATTAATGCTGACCATAAATGTCGCAGATTTCGTCCCATATCATTAATTTCAATACAGTACTTTTCAGTGGTGATGGTTTCACCCGGAATGAGGAAGCTGTAATGAATGAGTCAGATGACCATATCTTTTTTTGGACGTATGTTCTGTTTTGGGACGTCCCTTGTATTTCATCCTATGAACACTGTCTATTGTCGTATAATATTTGTTTTTCGTCACACGTTACTGTACGACAGAAATGGATCATTTTTGTTTCGTACGGATGACATTAAACACATTTCATACCTAGCGGTCGTTCCGCACCCAGTTGGCGAGCTTGTTTGTTTTCCCAATAGTTTCCAGATGGCGATCGACTGTGGTTTGGTCTAAACAAATTTCTTCCGCTTTCTCGAGTAGTTTTTGTAAGGTGCAACTATAGCCTTTATGTGGTCGTAGTGAACAGCAGAAGGACGGCCATCTTTGCTCGTGAGATCATAATCTCCAATGCTGTACTGTGGATTCATTTATGGTTCCTCACCCCAAATCTCATTAACCTTTCGGGCGGTTTTCGCTGCATTTCGCCCAAGTTTAAATTCATGAAAATAAATTTACTAAAAATCGCTCTTAGACATAATTTGTAAGCAATGAACGAACGGAATTAAATGTTTTTAATCAAAGGTTTGTACGAGAAAAAAGCGAGGTGAATATGCTTTAAAATGAAGTGCCTCCCATAGCATAATGGATTAGTTTTGTTTACAGAATTCCTATTAAAAGTGAAGCGAAAAGGACAACCTGCATTAATTTAGCATCAACCCAATACCTGTCTTTCTTTCTGTCTGTTCAATATCTATTTATCTGTCTATCCTTTTGTCCGTTTATCTGTCTATTTATCTGACTTCCTTTCTGTCTGTTTATCTATTTACAGTCTTCTTTCTGAATCAACTTTTTTTCAGATAAAACGTACCATGTTTTCATGCACTTTCAAAAACTGGATTTTTTATTATAAAAAGTGACACCAACAGCAATTAGATTGGCTGCGAATTTCCGGAGATATTTAAATAAAATATTGTATTACATATAATATGTTATATAACGTATATTAAATATTTTATAATATAAAATATTATTTCCATGCTGGTCAAACATAAATAAATATTTTGGGAGACTATCGTTTAGGCTAGGAGAATAATTATTGCCTAAAAGCCAATACGATTGTTTATTGTCAATTCCTAATCTTGATAAAAGTATAATCTACATTGAAATAAGTCCGCAAATAAGAAACAAATCTAATTCTTTTTAGGGTCATTTGTTTATATTAGAAATCTACCTTTTGAAAATGTATCCAAATTTGGAATATCTTATTTGAAAAAAAATTGGTACTCAATTTCCTATTCTGTAACTTTAAAATCATGTTTAGATTACTTATTTTAGATCTTTATAAAAACTACGGATGTTGTATTTAAACTTTTTTCTATAACCCTTCTTTTTCGAAAAAGGAGTCGAATTGATATAGTGAAACCCTGTATCTATGTAGTTCATCTAGCTCTATCTGTCTTCTCTGTCCATCTATTTCTTTATAAACATCTTTCTAATTTTTTTCTGTCTATCTGGCTGTATTTCTTTCTTTCTATTTGTCAGTCTCTCGCTGTCTTATTAACTCGTTCACGTTCTTCTTTTCATCTTAAAAACATGTTATCAATTTTACTGAATATTGACACCTAATTATTTTGCGGTATTATCTGCTTGTTTGACTTTCGTATCGGAACAATTATTAGATAGTAAAAAATCTGCATTATAATACGAATAAAATGATTATTGGGAGATCGTGACATGCGGTCTGGTGTGACGTAGATTTTAGAAAAAAAAAATTTTTTTCGTGCCGACGTTTCGATCTTTATTAAGATCATCTTCAGGGCCTTCTGCATTTCAACGAAAACGTTCTCTGGTTGATAGACGATGCAAAGTTTTTGCTCATTGTCTGCTATCAACCAGAGGACTTTTTTGTTGAAATGCAGACAAGATAAGGCCCTGAAGATGATCTCAATAAAGGCCGAAACGTTGGCACGATAAAGAAAATGTTTTTCTAAAACCTACTTCACACCAGACCGCATGTCACGATCTTCGAACAATCATTGACTAACGGTCATTAAACACCACACATTTCTATACGAATAAAATATTGAAATATATTTATGGATCCTTACCAGAACATGTATTTATATATTTTTTATAGATTTAAAATTATTAGTTATGACAGTAATATTTATGAAAAGTTGTCTTTGTCGTAAAAATATTCCTCATTAATTTTCCTTGACGGAGTATCTCCAGGAAGGAATTTTTAATTTGTTGACCAAAGTTAGACTCGAGTTATTATTGCATGTCAAACTGATAAAAAGTGAATTCTTACCCTTTGAGCCTGGTTTTTTAGGTTGTAGCATTCGCCGTGTCTTACAATTTTCAATCCTGCAAAATTATAACCGACAACCTTTAAAACCGTGCCACAATAGAATGGTTTAATAAATTACCTCTTTGAACCTTCTGTGCACATTTAAATTCGCAGATGTTTCCGTAAGTATTTCCGTTTGATCCACAGACTGGAAAGTATTCGACGGTACATATACAATCACTCTGTAAAAAAAAAAATAATTTAACATTTTTTAATTATATTCAATTAAAATAAAATTCGTTTATTAAATATTACTTTTGGTATTCCATTGCTAGAGTGCGTTTTTGTCTTAAATCCGTCTTCGCATACCGATAATTCCTTAAATAACAAAATTAATATTTTGTTCAATTTTAATTAATTGGTAATTACATAAAAAGTATATATAATTATTAAGCAACATGAAAATCTATGTAAACATTGACTGAAAATACGATTACTTATCAAATGGATCATACTTTTTATACGAGCTAACTTTTACTGACAAACGAACTGTTAATTAATAAAACTTAATTAAAAGACCATCAAAAAACCTCAGACGTGTTATGACTAGAATAGGACTCTCTGACCAGTAGAAACATGACTGCTCAGATATTGTCAAGATGAATGGTGATGACGAGGCGTGAATGACGGACAAGATGAATAAAGTTTTGGGAAATGTTAAAAAGCGTCGAGCTTAAAAGCGCAGCGGTAGGCAATGTTGGAGATTAAACAAAAGACCAATATTGGTCGCAGTGGGAAAGTTCGTAAAGTTGCCGACACCTTTTAACTTTAATCTTAAACCTAACAAACGATATTTACAATACGATCAAAACTTTCATTGAAGAAGAAATTGGTAATTTAAAAGCTCCGACATACCTGGACATCTAAACTCAACAATTCTAAAATAATTCACTCAATACTAAAATTTTCCGCAATGAGGTAAAAAGTGCTCAAGATTTCAAAATTTTTCGTCAATAGACTTTCACGTTACACAAAATCCCGTTTGTGACACGGTAAAAACACATACTATTCTACTTGTCGAACAAATAAGCTCTTACGAATTCCTTAAAAACTTACGAGGACCACGATGAATGTGAGGAATGTTGGAAGAAAGATCATAATTACGAAGGATAACAGCCAGAACAGGTTGCGCGATTACTGGAATGTTACTGAAAGGTTCTTGTATGATAAATAAATCTTATCTACAATCAATATTTTTTGTTTTTAGTGTATTACTAAATACCCCCCTTTAATTGGGTAAAAGTAACAGTTCGATTCTTATCTTTCTCCTCCTTCACTTGTCCTATTAACGTTACGCCTTTATTAATTTTATAATTTTTTTTTATGATTCATAATTTACAATTCTTTTAAATACCTTTCAACATACAATTTATTATATTCCGAAACGTGTTGCCCACGATTTTACTCACGAAAAATAAGGGAGTTCGTATGGTCTGGATAAAATAATAATAAGTTATTACTGCCAAGCTTTCGATCTATTTTAAGGTAGAAATAATAAAATTTAAGTAGATGGTTTCAAATTGCTTTGAAGCCCGTCCAGTCCCAACATTGTCAAGGATTCTAACAATATTTCAACATACTAACCCATTTATGTTTAGTGGCATAATTGACTATGTTAATTATTAAATTCACTATTTTCCGTGGTCCGCTTGACCAATTAATATCATTCAATTAATTAAGGTTTTTAGTTGAGATAAAAAAGTCAGTGTCACGAGAGGGATTCGAACCCACGACCTTCGGCTTGTTACGCCGCTCTACCAGTTGAGCTCACTTGAGGAAGTCACGATAGCCGAAGGTCGTAGGTTCGAATCCCGCTCGTGACACTGACTTTTTTATCTCAACTAAAAACCTTAATTAATTGCATGCTAATTATTTAAATTAATTATTGTTTTTGCAAGTTGTTGGTTGAGATGAAAAAGTGGAAAAAATGGCAAAAAGACGGGAAATTCGAAAGGTTATGGGTTGAGATGGGAAGTTAGTGTCTGAGTGGATCGAAGTCACCATAGCTCAAGTGGTAGAGCAGCAGCGTATTTAGCCTCAGGTCGAGGGTTCGAATCCCGCTCGTGACATTAACATTTTCATCATAGACCAAAACTTTACATAAAAAGAATAGTTAATTGAAATTGCAAAATAGTTCGAAAGTTCGGCAGTAACAATTTAATTTATTTCTTCATCCAGACCATACTAAAATCCAGATTATTTGTGCGAAAATACAACTCACTAGTTATATGAGTAATTTGGAAATAATTATGTTATATTTATTATCTTGTTGTTATCTTATCACAATATTGTTTGTGTTTGTTTCTGGCCAGGCCTTTTCGAGTTTCCTGGAATTTAACTGACGTCTGATTCGGAGTGAGGTCGAACAATGATATTCAGACATGAAATATATACAAGCCGGTGTCTCTCAAGGGTACATTCTCGATCTGCTGACATTCCTATGCATGCCAGCTCTGTATTAACACATCTAATTCAAATCTTGTAAAAGGGACTGCCAGTATCCAACAAAACTTTGAGCTTAGCAAAGACTAGTGCTAAAAGTAAAAAAAAAATGTTCATAGTGTATTTACATTTTTAAAAAACCTGCCAATTACTGTACATAAATAGGATGGAACAACTTGTACTCAAGTAGATGCTTAGGACTTTACGTATAGAACAGATTGACGAGGAATCTTCACCCGAAACGTAAAACAACGTGAAATAATTTGGAGTAAGACTACGAAGACTTAGAATCGAAATACGTTTTAACCGTCAAAACTCAAACCTCTCTCTCTCTTTCTCTCTCTCTCCTCAAGTAGATTATCAGCCTTCCTATTTAATACCACATTTAATTTTACTTCGAAACACAAAAACACAAAACTTTGCATATAGGTAAGAAATGATACATCTATCTTTTTTAAGGAGCTGAAGTTAATTATTTAAAACGCAAACCAAATGGTCATTTTTGAGATTGAAATAATGTAAAACAAAGGTTTCCCGGACCGTGTTCCATTATCTGGACCACCTATGATAATCTCATCAGCCAGACAGATTCCCCCGAGTGAGACCACTCTCGAGGCTTGGTCACTGGAAATTCCCGATGGACCGGCCGGTCCGTGCTGGGAATTTTTTTCTCGGGCTTTTCCTCTTTCTTCCAACGATTTGATTTCTTACGGTTGTTAAAGAAACTTTTCGTTTTAATATCACCAACGCCTCGTATATAAATAATACGCCGAAATATTCTAGCGTTATCAAAAGGGAACCTATTTTTTAAAACGTAATTGAACCGAAAATCCTTATAAACGTTGCAACTTATCTTCAAAAAATTGCGTCTAGAAAATAATACGAAAAAGAGTTATCTAATTTTAACACAAGTATGCTCGCATTACTGTTTATATAAAGTAATTAAACGGTATAACCGTCAACAATTTTATTTATGAAGAAAAAATTCAATTAGTTACAAGGAGATGCAAAAATTATCTTATTATTTTTATTTCTAAATATATTCTTGCCTATATGAAGAAACCTACTCCACAAATCTGCAATTTTCTTAAAAACAGAAAAATCAATTCGACCTCGTTTGAGAATGTATGACGAATGCTTACGAATAACAAAACACTCCTAATGTAAGTAAATTTAAATTGGTAAAAATTTTAATTCTGGAAAAAAGTTCAATTTTTATATTTCAAACATTTGTTTATCTCAAACTATACACAATTTGTATAATTCTACGATTGCTATTCTTAAACGTCTACAAAATGAATACAAAAACGTATTATAAAAAGCAGTAGATAACATTAAAATAATTAGCCTTCCACATGGGCAAACTGGTTTCATGAGTGGGTGTTGCAGAGTTCAATATTATGAAGATTTCAATTAATTATTCTTTTTATGTAAGGTTTTGGTCGAAATGAAAAAGTTGTGTCACGAGTGAGATTCGAACCCACGACCTTCGGCTTAATACGCCGCTGCTCTAACCGCTTGAGCTATTGTGACCTTGATCCACTCGGACACAAACTCCCTATCTCAACCTACAACCTTTCGAATTTGCCATCCTTCTTGCCATTTTTCAAATGTCGTGTAACCAGGATGCTATTGTCGCCAACATATGAATTGGCCACGGGGAGGTATTAGTGAAGTTATACTTCGTTTTACATATTAAATCCATTATATTTAGTTGCCTAATTGACCAAATTACTTCTTTCAATTAATTAATTTTTTTATGCAAGGTTTTCGTCGAAATGAAAAATTTAGTGTCACGAGCGGGATTCGAACCCAAGACCATCGGCTTAATACGCCGCTGCTCTAATTACTTGAGTTATCGTGACTTCGATCCACTCGGACACCAACTCCCCATTTCAACCTGCAACATCGAGGGTTCCAATCCCGCTCGTGACATAACTTTTTCATTTCAATCAAAACCTTACACAAAAAGATTAATTAATTGAAAGAAGTAATTTGGTCAATCAAACCACTAAATATAATGGATTTAATCAAAATAAATTGCACTTTCATGTGTGAAACCCTTTGAACCTTCGATTAATACATACATAAAATCCATAAAACTAGGGAAAATTTCGAGACTAAAACTGAAAATGGCCTATTGGCTCAACAAAAAAATGTACCAAAACATTGACATCCTACAGAGATTAGCGAGACTATGTTTCACCGGGGAAATGAAAACTACGTCGATCGCATTAAAAAGCTCTTCTAAACCTACTTATATTAGAAATATGCACGAAGGAACAAAGAAAATAACATTTAGACTCCAAAAACAATTATATTGGAGACCAAACATTTCGAGCAATAATTAGTACAAATAATTAATAAAAATGGTCACCCAATAAAAATGGTATCGATGTTTCTGCTTTACAAAACTTAAAAGAGAATACACTGACAAAAATCTTTGTAAGCTCAGATAGCCTAGCAGGTAATAAGGCGAAAGCATGCAAAAAGGATGGTCTCCTCTGCCTGGTAATATCAGCAGAGAGTTTATTCTGTCTGTACTCCTATCCGTGCATGTTCGTTCTTAACTGATAGATAGGAGTTCAGCCAGAAAAGTTTGGTTGCTGCTGTTTTCAAGTAATTCCTTTGTAAGTTTTGCGGATAGCCCTTCTATGAATCCCTTGTGCGACTCATCCCTGTGGTATTGTTCCACCAGATTTTGGACTCATTAAGGATCCATTTTAAGATGTGGCAAGATGTTAGGCCATAGTAGGGGTCAGGACCTAGAGACTCCATGTTTAGCCAATGTCAGTTTTTTTGTTGCCTCTATGCATGGAATAACCGAGGTCAGGTCATTGGTGTCGCTGACTTCAGCCAAGGCTTCCATGTAGGTCTAAACACTATTTGCCTTCGCCTTGCATGAAGCTAGAGCTTTTTAGTGCTGGCTGGCTGTCAGAGAAGTTATCTTCCGAGAAGGTATTCCCAGCCTTTTCTTTACCTAGCGCAATGTTCAATCGATATGTTTTCAAAATGGAAAACTGTAGCATATTTACCTAGGTACGGTTTAGGCTTTGGATCCAGCCCCTTACCCTTGTCGGGTTTAGAGTCCTCATGTATCAGTGGGTGTTTGCCTTTAGCAGGGTTCCTTTGGCCCATTCTTCCCGTACTGGTATCAGACCTTGAATTTTGGAGTAGTAGCATATGGCATCATAGTTATATTTACTCAATTTTACGTTTTAGTGGTCAATTGACCAAGTTTCTTTTTTAAATTAATTATTCTTTTTATGGAATGTCTTGGTTGAGATAAAAAAGTCAGTGTCACGGGCGGGATTCGAACCCACGACCTTCGGCCAAATACGACGCTGCCCTACCACTTGAGCTATCGTGACCTCGATCCACTCGGACACAAACTTCCCATCTCAACCCAACCTTTTCAATTTTCCCTCCTTTTTGCCGTTTTTCAAATGTCGTGTAATCTATCTGATTTTCAAATTGTATCAACGGATTCGGCCAAATCTTTTTAGATCATTGTTTATTTGAAGCAAGGTCGTGAAATCTTAAAAAATCAGAAAGAGTGGTATAACTCCGAAACTGGTGAGATTCGGACCATAGTTAATTAGGTCTTTTTGGTTCCATTTTGAATGTCGAATCTACTGGCAAACTTTGTAACACGAGTAGCCGAGCGGCCTGTATAACAGTCTTGAAACACGCGCACAAAAAACGTTAGACACTCGAG